ACATGAATATGTGCCCTCAAGTAGGTTCCGACATTAGGTCAGTCACGAGCTTTTAGTTTCACTGCGGGATTCTTAGGTCAGTAATGTGAATTATCGACTAAAGCGCCATGTCGCATAGTACCCCACTACTAGACAGTACGTTTGGACCCACTTAGGTGTTTGTGAGATGTAAATCAATGAATGAAACATTTCTGATTAAATTCCAGGGTTTTTTCCAGTATAAACTGACGTCTCTTTAAGGATGAAACACCGATTCGGACTTTGGTATCTCTCTTCTCTTTACAAATAAAAGAACCATGTAACTGACCTTCGTGTGGTTGAACTTTTCGGCCAATTCCCATAGCCCTCCTAATGCTAGCAGCAAACTGTCAATGCTCACGGTCGAACTGCACGCTGAATTTCGATGTATTTCTTACCGAGACAGAATTCCATGTATTCATGTTTATCACTCGGATAAATATCGTGATTTGATAAAAGTCAACAACCACCCCCCTTTTCATAAAAATTTACAGTTGGCCTTTCATGCGTGTCTCCCAGCTGCGTTCATCTGGCTGAGTGAGAATATGTCATTTAGTTAATTCAACTGCTGTCTCGTTTGCCCGCAAGCTATGGGATAGAAACAAACAAAACCCGCTCTTCGATTTGCATTAAATGTACAAACGTCCGGTTTAATCACAATTTAGGCAAATGACATGGCACGGTAACCCATTCCCATGAATGTTGCTCGCTTGGGCTATGATAAATAGAGTGAATCTTAAAAATGCCCTTCTCCTGTCCCCATCGACTAATAAATCTTCTGACTTGTGTTTGTGAGTAGGTGGTGTAGCGCAAAATGACCGCTCCAGGGTGAACTGCACCAACTCAAATGGGAACTGGATGCATGCGAATTGCAACTAGATTCTTTAAATATCTATTCGCCTGCGTGTTGATACCCTTCAGAAAAAAACTGAAACATGGAAGAGAATTAGACGTTTAAAGGGCTAAATCACTGTGGCAGTTGCTTCACCATTGTTACTCACAAATAAGGAACGTTCCACATCTATTTACCAGGGAGAAGCAGGAGTTTAAACGTGGACTTTGTCATGCATATAAAATCAACCCATATTGAAAAGCCGAGAAGCACTGTACGGTTGTCTCAAGCTTGTAGAAATTCAACAGATAGGACATGCTATACGTGTAGGACAATTAGCCTTACAATACACTCGTCCAGCCCCAGTAAGTTCAAGAATCAGGAAGTAAACAGTATCCAAATTTGTGAACTGGACTTTCTGCCGTGTCAGATTAGCTTAAGCAAAACATTTCTCACTCATGCGTCTCGTAACTCTTACCTTCATCCGGGTCAGTTTTTCGTTCAGAGTTCGAGTTGGCATCTTTGGAAAATCCACCAACTAACTTTCCTATCAGGTTCAACAATCCTCAGTGTGGTCCGGTGAAGTCATCATGCAATAAGCGGGATCATCCCTGGGAAACGGATATTTAAACTATCCTGAAAGCAACCCGATCCGTGAAGCTTCTATCTGAGAAGTCGTTGCTCGAGGAGCCAGCCAATACGTGTGACCGCGTGATGTGGGTCCCATGATTGAAGGATAAGCGGCGCTATATCCTAAGTGCGAGTTGATCACACTGCTGATCAGCCACTCGTGGCCGAACGTTTAAGTGTTCAAACTACTAGCCAGCAGGTCGCGGGTTCGACACTTCCTTTCTGGAAGACCAGTCTAGAGGCTCTCACTTCATCGACTCTCAAAAAGTTTCGCAATGGTGAGATGAAAAATTCTCACCCCCGCTAGCTCACACTGCTCTCGGTGTGGTGCAACCAACGAAGGGTAATCAGGAGAAGACGCGCTTCCAATAATAGATCTCATTTCACATAATTCCCGTATTTGGAAGCAAGGTTTTATATTAACATTTTTCTTAACGGTAATCGCACTTCTCGCAAATATGATTGTATCAATTCCGCTGCAAGCACAACAATGTGGACTCGACTCAAAGAACAGCAAAGTTATGCCTTTTCCCCAATCATCCCCTTTCGTTCCCGATAGAAAATACCGGCAAACTGCATCTCCAGTGGCATCAATTATTAATTAGGCTAAGCCTAAGCCCGAAGTTTCTCTTTATATCACTATACCGCATCAGGTTGTCTGTTTGCAGTCTCTGCTGGATGTTACAGTTATCAGTGTCACATCATATCTCTTATTCATGACAGCCTACGAGCGCTTTACGCACAAAGTTTAAGAGTACAGGTGACAGTGAGATGGGATAAAAAGTATGTTGTCTTGACACGGGTACCAAAGTTGTACGCGAATTCCAGACTCATAGTAACAATGGGTGCGGAATTGTCACGAAGTATGATATGCACCGTGTAGCAGAATGTCTGACATAGAATTTCTTTTTTCGGGCTTAACACGGTGTGGGAAGCTGTTTGTAAGTAGTCTATCGTGGGTCAAATCCCCAGCCAAACATTCAGCTTACTAATCTAAGGTATATGTATAGTAATTACGATGAGGTACAGTAAGCTCCTTGCAATTTCCAGAACAATAATCATTTGCAAGTTCGCTAAACGTGGATAACTGGAGATACCTAAACGCTTGCATTGTGAAAAACTGAGATTATACTACTAACTCAGTGTTACGATGCCCGGACGTACTCTACGAACTACACTAGCTATAGTTTTGGCTATCAGCCACTGCGGTGAAACTTAAATGCGGGACTGTAAAATATACTTTGATCTTTTTGGAAACGGTGGGGCTGCCATACAAGCTAGGTAGTTGTGAACTGTTTCCAACTTGCTTCTAACTTTCCAACTTGCACACCAGAATATGCAGGATCGAGGGAAAATGGTCTTGGTTACATTAAACATGTTACAACACGAGTGCGTTTGATAAAGTCATGACTTTCGTTCAGACGGCTCTATACTTATGAAATGCTGGAAGTACTGAGTGCCGAAAAGCCATTTGGAATGATACTAGATACAACTACCGCTTGAGAATTCGCCTACGAAATCGGATGAACAAACTCAGTAAATTTGATTTTAATACAACTTCTTCGTTACTGTAAATCTTGTGGGAAGGTAAGCCTCAATACACCAATGTTCTACTGTCAGTCTATTCTGGTGGGTGCCTATGTTCGCTTTATCGGCCCTAAAAGGTGCGATACGGGAGGCTAGTCGTCGCCGGATTTTTAACTGGTCTTTTCGTACGGTCTACAAGCACAATCGTTCGATAGTTTCAACATCAGACAACACGAACCTCAAAGGAGCCATTGGTCTGCACATTTGGTTGGTGTAATTCCAGAGTTGGCTTGGGTCTTCTGATTGAATGCGCAAGGGAGTGCTTAAGTAAAATGAACATAAATTCCTCGTTCCTTAGCGCAGCCGTATGCACTCAAACCACTCCATTCAAAATACTGGATGCGTTCATTTCCCTCCGTTGGAGGCCCACTTTCCCTTAAATGGATCACATTTTCACGGTGTTCGCTTAGTGATTCTCCTATTTTTCTGCCCAATAGCTCACAAGCTAATAGAAAATTTTCATGCGGAACCGCCCACGTGGAAAAGCGGCACTCTAGAAGGCGAGGTGTGATGCATGAAACCAGGCTGGAATCCTCCACGATCTACTTCAGATTTGCAAGTAGACGTCACCGTCATCCCAAACATTTAGCCAATCATATCCTTGGTCGTGTCCGAGATCCAATGCATGGTACCGATTACATTCATACTTAAAGGATTTTCACACCCATCACAACCCCCTCACACTGACTTAGTTTCCAAGACTACATAACTCTCTTGTCTGGTCATAATAAAGTTTCTGTGCTGCTAGTAGTTCTTGGTGCTTTTCAGTCACAACATAACCCCTGTTGTCCGGTATTCAATCAAAGATGAGCTGATACGCCCATCGATACTAACAAGTGTCCGACGGTTTGGTGTTTTAAAGTAAGTGCGGTTAGTGGGAGCGCGAGACTCAATATCAGGTATCTGCTGTTAGGTCGACAACTTATTCAAAATCTTGATTCGTATTGGGCCATGAGGGGAAATTGCTTTTGATCGATAACTTGTACCCATATTGTGCTTAAGATGCTTCATTTTGCATCCTTTGACTTTGTGGTTGGCTGCACAGCACACAACAGGAAAGGCCGACTCCGGTCTCAAGCGATCGTGAAAAGACACAAAACGCTGAGATTGAAATTTCGGTGGTTTTCTATCTTCCCTCGGCCACTGTAGCCTAATCGCCTTTGTATTCTTTTGTAGCTATCTTATCGTTTAGCAACTGCATTTATATTGCACGTTATCAGTGCAGGCACCATCTGACTGTCTCTTATGCCCCACAATCTCCTATTGCATTGAACTCGAAAATGCGTGCTGAGAATGGAGATTTTCCTACCTGAAACCTTATGTTCATACTCTGCATGTCCAACATCCCCAGTTTCATTAGACTTCCGGAAAAGGCTATGTACGTTCTCAGCCTCCAAACACTTCGATCGCATTACAAGGTAACGTTTACAATGAGCTCAAGAAAAAAGTTCGTTTTAGAAATTCCCGAATAATCAGTAGGATGTGGACATTTTTAAACAGAAAATCCATTATTAAGTAGTGTGAACAAAAAAACACATCTAAAATGAACTCCAACGACCTCTTGCTCAGCAGAATAGCGATCGACCTACCGAAGAATCGTACTCCGTCGCAGATGCATACCTGAACTTCACATGCGATTCGCCCCATCCACGCAAAATGAATTGACAGTTGATGTTTTTCAGAACTATGGAATCTCAGCAGCGATCCACAAGTTGAACTCATATCTCTATATAAAGGCAACTATTGATGAACCCATTGTGGAACGTACACAGTGACCCACAAGTTCAACTCAGCTCTATACAAAGGTTCTTGATATGAGTGCTCAAAAGTGGGAGGATGACCTTACAAAACCTCAAAAGCATCCGCTAAGCGTGAGGTAGGTTGTTAGAGTCTATTTCCACTCATACTCTGTTTACCTCGACTTCGTTTTTAGATCTGCGTGATCACCTTATGCATTCGATGTTGGAACTAGGTAAGTTCTATCAACATTGTCTTATTCGCTGGAACCTTGCACAGCTTCGCAGAATGGCTGTAAAATCAGTGGATGAGAAATTCGACAGTTTCATAATTTACTTTAAGAAACACTTCAATAAAATCCCGTCAACCAGTGGCATTTTTAACAGTGATTGGCCCTCTATTGCCCAGAAGTTATTATCCAGCATAGTTTGATACTATCCTATTCCATTCCAGTGTTTGAAACCTAAAAAGTTTATCTTGAACACCTGAGCATCGCAACATAGAGATGTTTCATCCAAAAGCAAAACTCCTGACAGCGGGTAGCAACATAAGAGTGCCACAAAATAAGCGGGCGTATTTGACCAAGCTTGTCTAAACACCAGACGTTTACCCTATTTGATTAGACAGCTTCCGGTTACCGAATGGCGATTGCCTCCAATCTATGAAAGAATGTCAAAAGCGTGCATCGGAAATGCTTTCACATCTCACTTTCTTTCTAGCACATCAACCTCATTTAATCCCAAGTTTTAATCACATTTGTGTAAGTCATAAACGACAGATTCAGCTCGAGTTCCAGGTGAGTCTCCCGCAAAACCAAATTGGTTCGCAATGAGTCCAGTGAATGGCGATTGCCTCCAATCTATGAAAGAATGTCAAAAGCGTGCATCGGAAATGCTTTCACATCTCACTTTCTTTCTAGCACATCAACCTCATTTAATCCCAAGTTTTAATCACATTTGTGTAAGTCATAAACGACAGATTCAGCTCGAGTTCCAGGTGAGTCTCCCGCAAAACCAAATTGGTTCGCAAATGAGTCCAGTTCGCCAATTTCTCACTTGTTTCATAGTCCAGAGCAATAACCCGTGTTTGGAAATAAAATATGTCACGCAGAATAGAACACGGACAATCAACATGATCTCTGGCACAATGGGAGGGAGAAAACCTGAAATTTTTCTGCCCTTGATGTTCCTGAGTGGCAACAGCATACGTGATAACGTCAAACACAACCATTGTTATTTTTTGACAGTAGTGCTAATAAGCCCGAGTGGAACACCGTGTGAACAGAAGGCAAACAAAAGCATTTAGGTGACTTGACTTATGAAGCTGATAACGGAATGATCAATTTCTGATGGATCTTCGTGTACTAGTTGGCAAGTTTGAAATACATGTATGTTATATACACCCATTGCAATCGCCCTAATTAGGTATAGAGCGTCTTCGGTTCAAAATCAGGACCGTAAATATTCTGCTGTTCTCTGGGACAGATGCCGAATCATATAGCCCACAAAGCTTGCAGGACCCTCCCAGGCAAAGGAATGGATTGACGCTGAAGAACTATGGACTGACAGTCCATCTTCCAGATTTGTATTGAGCAAGCGGATACTAGCGAAGTGGATCCTTAGTTGCATTGCACTGAATACTGTCCAAAAATTAGTTGTTAGTCGGTGTATGACAGTTTCAGAGGCCCTAAGGGGTTCGTCTCCTTCACTATGGTTGTGCATCAGGTAGCGGTGAACGAAGATGTGAGCCACGCTAGACGGAAAACTAACAGGAATCCTCTTGTATATGATGCCAATAAATTTGGGAGAGCTCGTGCAATGACCAAACCAGTTTTTCTACGGTGCACATCTCTCCACAGCGTCCCGTCTGTCCTTCTGGCTAAGTTCACATCAGAAAATGACACTAGCTTTGTACACGCAATGCGGAAGGTGCCGAGTTAAAACTTGCGAATCACGTCAGTTGGGTTGAAGGAGACACAGACAATAATATCATGAACATATCGATTGCAGTAGCATGGTGCAAAACAGTATATTCAGTCGTACTGATGAAAAATGTTAGATAAAATGGGACCGAATGGAGAGATTATCAATAATCCATCTGTTTGTGTATCGAACCATGAACAGAAATAAGGTAATCTGCATCGCTAAAGTAATTCTTTCAATTCACAGACGAGTGAGTGGGAATGCTAGATTAAGCCTCAACTATAGTCAGTCGTTCGCTCAATTAAGTGACATCCCTTAAAAGGCGTGCGAAGTCAAAAGAAAACCGTTTACTGTTATTCTGGAGACTGTATACCGGAAACTACGTTGTGTAAATGGGTATGTGGGTCGCAAAACTCTAAATCTACCTCAAAAAATGACTTAGCATTTCGGACAGGATAAATTGATCACGTGACCAGCGTGGTTGCAAACCACCTGATCAATAAAAACCAACAAGTCAACCCAGCCCAACCGTTCGGATTGAACTCTTGAGTGTAGCCAAACCGCTCAGGGTCATCCGTACAGACTGTCGAAACAACGGACGGGATGGTAGCAACACTGCCCTAACTCTTCGTTCTGTAATCAAAAGAAACCCATGAAAGTGCTGACTTTACATTGACCAACCAATGACTCCTCTCTGAAATTCCAAGACCCAGTTAGAGGTTAGCTAATTCGAAGTATTAACCAATATGGTCCGACGTATCATCCCCTCAACCATGTTATTTATTAATGTACCTGTCTGATGAGGTTTCATCGAAAACATCGCTCACAACCATTATCTTCTGACCTCAAATGAGATTATTTAGAATCAAATCTTCAATCTTTCGTACAAACCACACACAAGATTCGATAACCAAATTTCACTAAATCCGTTCAGTAGCGTTCGCAACGGTCTAACGAATGAATGCACCCACAGCGTAAGGATACCAACCGCGCGTGATATTCTGTTCGAAAGAACAAGCCGGTAGAGAGAATCGAAAGCAATCTTGAAGAAGCACTGAAATTGTAGGGCGCTTATACAGAGTGTGGGGATGTGGTCCACATAACTCCAACCCGGTCAGGATCCTGCCTACAGTTCCAGGATCTCGTCTTCATGCGGCTTCGTGAAGACGTAAAATAAGAGAGGAAAAATCAAGCTAATTCCTCTGTGACTGCAACACACCACAAGCAGCCTTTCTGAAAACTGGTATTACTACCGGCTCAACAGGGCCAAGTTCTTTAACGCAGATAAAGGCGAGAAATTAGACACGCACCAACTAAGGATTTCATCTACATTCTTTGAACAGAGTGGATGGAGGTAGACAGGATCAAGAACTCCGTTCCACCCGAGGTAGAAAAAGCACGCACATATTTCCGAAGCCGTCAGAGTTTCCGAGAGCTCCAAACCACCGAGTATCAGCAGGTTGGGTGCTGAATGAACCCAAATTACAGTAAGTCAAGCGATGTCAATTGTCTTTCTGTCTGGCTTTGTGAGGGTTCAATCCGTTGCGTCGTTGCGTGAGAACGAAAGTTCAGAAGGCCTTGTTAAAATCGTCGGATTCTGAATTTCCTTACAGGCGGTAGAAATGCCCAACAAGTGTTAGGTGACGAAAGACACCACTTCACAGTTTTGGATAAAACGTACAAACCCATTAGTTAAATGACACCGAAAAAACGTAGTTGTGAGTGTTACACACGATGCCGTGATGAACACGCTTTGTGGCACCAAGTTTTTACGGTGAGGCTTTACATACCAAGGCCTTGTTACCAAAGTCGCCCGGCCGTGGTGGCTTCATTCACTTCCTTCGCTCTTGACATTTGCTCATCCCAAATCTAACGCTTCAAGCGCAGTAAACAACCCAGCAACCCAAGAAGATCTACAGGTCAGAATTAAACCGTATCCAAAATTGCGTTGAACTAAAAAAAAGACAGTATAAATATCAGATGTTCTTCCAGTTTTCGGTGTTCATCTTCTCTCTGTTCAGTATAAAAAGAAATGCAATCATCCGAGTGATTAAATGATCGATACAAGTTGACTATCGTGCTTGTCTTGGGCATGACCCATATGGACGGATTGTAAGGCTGTACACAGACCGTGCGTTCATGGCAAACACCTTGTGTTTGTCTTCAACTGCACCGTAACCAGCATCTCCCATCGCATACTCCACCAGTCTGGCAGCCTCCCACATATTCAACACTGATAACGGAACAGAACGACGAGCCCGCTTTGCAGACACTTCTCCGGGCACTTCACCGCATTCACGAGACTGAGCTAGGATACCCTGTTCCGACCAACCTGTCTGATCCGATCCCATTAGGCGACAAATTGGCCATCCGGAACCAAATATACAACGATCGGGGCCGAAGCAGCTGACAGCATGAGAAAGTGCAGCTAATGCGCACCACTCGTCAGCCGAGTCATCTGGTTTTGATGGATTGACCACGCGTCCAGTAGCTCCCGTGACTTTACAATAAACATTTGGATAACGGCTGAGAAATTCCAGGTCGGCTCGCCAACTGGAAGAGGCCAGATTGAACGCTGTCCAAAATAGGTAGGTGAGTATCAGGAAGGACATACTGATGTGGGGACAATCTAATTGAATATGAAGCGTGACAAGTACAGTATAGTCATCCAAAAAATATCCAAATAGAACATGGATCACCAACAAGTAGTGCGCGTGAAGGGCCTGAATAATGATTTATACCTCGACATATTGGGTTTGGGGTCGACAAACTTCGGAAGGGGGGCAAAGAAAACCGTAGCTTTCTACAATTATGCAACTTTTTCCGACGGGAATATGCTGACTTGGACGCTGCAGCAACAAAGCCGAGCTTGCGGTTCAATTTTTCATTTCTTGTGATGTACATTTACTTGAATACTATATTTACTTACTTAGCTGAGAAATGACTCCATATACCAAGGAACAGCCCATGCTGAAAAGAGAAGCTATGGCTGAGTTAAAGTACCCCATTCCGAGGATTCCAAAGTGTTTCCTCATCAAGAGAGTTGATTCGCAGGAGAGTGACACATTGCGTGCTTTCTGCACTAGAATGACAAAATTTCAATAGCAGCCAGAGATTTTTAGACAACCTTCATTGGGTCTGGATAGAATCCTATGTGATTTAACTCGACTATTCTAGATGTTCGGTCTCTTGCACATCTTTCATTTACACATTAGCATACGTGGTGGGCCTGTAAATAAGCGTCAGCTCACGTCACACATATTATAAAAGTACCAGTGGATCGCTGATCTAGCTGAACTAAGTAAGACAGGCTAGTACGAGGACAAATGCCTATACAGCGACGAAAACAATGATGATTATCGTAAACCCACCTTGCTGCAACTTGTCCTTCAATAGGTATTTAAACAGTTAAGTGTTCCGACGAATGGTGCCAACTGCGTACCTAAGGTCAAATTATCGGCCCAATCAAGTCTTCCCAAAGATCTCATTATCGTGGCGGATCAGTGTATCAGCAGTGGTCATGAGAAACTCAGGGAATGTGAATCAACTAAAAAACGGCTCAGTGGCGTAGACTTTCCATTTCACGATATACTCTTTTGAGAACTAAACCAGCCATTTGTTGAACCAAAACGCGTCTCCTCTCCGGCTCGAGTTTTTTCCCATTCGAGGATGGGTCGCAATGAAAAGCAGTTCGTACCTTCAAATCCGTCCTCTTAGTAGATGTGTTTCATTTCCAAAGATTTCCCCGAAGAACGAGTAGTGTAAATGTAGAGTTCAGCTTTCTTATTTTAAAAGGCTATGTACTAATTTCCTGCATATTTTTAGAACCACTTTGTCGATAGCACCAAGCTCACTAAGACCGGTGTCATTACGAGACCTGAATGTGGTTATGACCGGGAAATTCTCCTCAGCAACAAAACCCACACATCTGATGAACAGGACATGTGGAGCGTGTTACCATCCCATCGGAGGTTCTTCAGTGATTTTAATTGTGGAAAAAGAATGCACTACATTTAAAACCAAGTGACTATGTATTCCCTATACGTGCTAGTTAATCACGAAGATGACCGAACGCTGGGAATCTTACCATAACACATGAGGGATTGTTTGTTCAACCGCACTCTGGATTATTGGACTGAATACCGCTAACTTTTCACCTATTTAGAGAAATTTAGTTTAGCTCCAATTCAAAATAAGTTTCAGTAGGTTCGTCGGTGAATAAAACTGCGGCAGCTAAAACCACTGTACGACGAGTACGCGGTTATTACAACTGACAATGATGATGATGATGATGAAATCTACCAGTGAAAAGAGTGTATTTGCTACGCCAAGTGGTTTATCGTTTTGTGCGGATTCAGGCCGCTTGCTGCGACGCCTATGGTTAGCTGTTTGGGCGAGTTGAGATTACATATTCGAACCACCGAATTGAACCAAGCAGAAAAAAGCATTCACGCATAAAGCCATTTCAGTAGCTACTAGGTAAGTCAGAGAAGATGTTAGAGCTAAGACTGTCAAATTTTGCAGGCCTGAGCAATAACAATCGGCGACTAATAGGAATCTTTCAAAATTCGGAACCACATTCTAGTGATTATAACAGCGAATGACGCCAATTGGTTAAATCGATGGAGTGAGGTCGATTACTCAGCTGAAGATATCGGCTGGTTTCAGCACAAGAATTAAAAATGAAAACATTCTGTGTGAAAATTAATTCTCAACGCGACAGGAGAGCCTACTCCTTCCCGGAAATCTCGAGAAAAAAGGGAACTAGTTCTCGGCAATGTGCAAAAGTGACCCTGTCTGAACAGGCTCACTTGAAAAGAATGATCATAAGTGCTCTTTGTTAGAAATGACACAACTGTCAAACGAGGCTCCAAAGCTCCAAACGTAACCTCTTCTGATAGGTGAACTCTCTTAACAGTGATCTCTGCATTGTGGGACGGCCATTGCCATTCAACAGGGCAGCTGATTACTTGATTTACTTCCTGCCAGATTCACCTTGTGAACATTCTTTGCGAATGCGAGTAGACAATTGGCAATCGCAACGCTGATACCCCATTTTACTACGACTGTTTTGTTGCCGGTGAATTCGAACAGTGATCCGAATCTCCACGCGAAGATGTTTCAGCTAGAAATCCCAAACCAGAACACGACATTCCATACCTTTATGAAATTTATTCACATTATTTCAGTGAACGTAGAGAGAGGGAATCCAGAACCAGTATAGCTGGAATGGATAAGCTCATAAAGAGTGTAACGCACGAGTGATTCAGGGCTTCCGACGTCAGTTGTGTAGATGGAACTTTTAAACTCACAAGAAAAATCCCTTCAGTTTTAGAACACAGGACCTTTAGGAACAGGGTAAGGATTGGATAAGAGCTCAACAAAGACAATCTATCAGAGACAATATACACAGGGTAAGTTGATATTTGAGTTCATCTACCACTATAAATTCACTTATTTTAATGAAAATCCCCAGGTGAGTAGACTAACTTAAACCCTAGAAAGAAAAATACTTTTATGAAATTCGAGTCTTATTACTAGGTAAGAAATTACCCCTGGTATTAGCACCCAAAAAATTTCAAATTTAGTATAACAAGACAGTCTAAAACGAAGAATGAATGAATACGGTACTCAGGTTTCATACAGGGTTTGGATGCAGTGAACTCCAGAGGGAGCCCACAGTGATTCAAAACCAACTTCAATCTCGGATGCTTGTAGGCCAAGTGACAAGCGTGACGGAGTTGATGAGGGCCGATTGCCAGATCGAAAGGCAGTCCCAAATGTTCTATGGCCGAAATATTATCATCAACCTGCGAGGAGACAAAAAAGGTCACGCAAGTCAAACGGTAGGAATCAACGGAACAAACGTTGATTGTTAAGGGCAGAGGAGGGACTAAATACATTGGAAACCATTTCGCTCAAATATCATCTACTCAGTGATTTCATGATCCACAGTGTCAAAGAAATTTAAGAAACTGACCAAGCAGATTCGAGTGGAAAAATTCCTTACCATAGAATCTAATAAGTAGTCGCCCTCGATATCGCTGACATCGTACCGTAAACCAACAAGCAGTGGATCTGAATTCATCCGCTGAAGATGCTGGTTTAAACTGGGGTCGGATAAATCACACCAGCTGACGTATCCAGCAATGCACAGATATTCTTCGGCCATCGCAGAAACCATTAAGCTCTCCGAATATGTGGAAGCGACCTGAAAGGTAGGAAACACGAGGCGGCATATAGTTTTCACTACTCAAAAAGCTCCTAGTAATTTGTCGCCTAAAAACAGGACCAGTCAAACCCGGTTTCAACCAATAACAGATTTTGTGAAGTTACTTGAGCAACACATTTTGAGAAACCATGGCCCAACGTCCGTTAAGTGTCTATCGAAGCACACCAAAACCGAATCGGCAGTAAAATAAAATGGCGATATCTATGGGTGGATTTTTGAGACCCCCAAATTTAATCGCTGCCAAGTTAGAAATTTCACTCAAAAATCAGTAAATGATATCCCATTGAGAATGTCATTTAGCCATTTCTGGATCAGCTAGGTACAGCAAGCTCACCTGAACGTGTACCGCATACCTCACAGGTGAAAGTTCTCCAATCTCGTACTTTAACTCAGCTTCTGCTCGAGCCCGCATGTAGTCCATTTCTTCCTCGTAATCATCAAGAGTGAAATCTCGCTGCAGCCTTTGACCCCAAGGGGCACTTGGTGGTGGAGGCATCTTGCCGCCCAGGTAGAGCTGACTATAACTGACTGCGGAAGACAGAGACCATATGGAGAAATGTGCGTCTATGTAGGGTGGTTGAATAGGTGCCCAAGCTTCGCGGGCAGCTTGAGTTGCCTCACGTTCATCTGTTCGTTCGAATTCAGCCTGCTCGTTTGCTTCGGCATTTACCTCGGCTAACAGGTCAGGTTTGTCAGTGCGTACATGCAACTGCTCATACTCGGCTCTGGTCAACGGACCGACAAAACCATCTGGTGTTGATTGCTGAGCCTGAAACGAAAATATAAACTTTCTAAGCAGCAGAGGTTAATATATATAAACCACGCACCACGCTACAAATGGCATGAACCAGAAAGCCATGAGAAAAAGAAAGACTATTTCAGTAGGTAGGCGGAGAACGGTTACATTTCGAAAACATAAGACAAAACATGTCACTCATTCCCTTGAGTGCCCCCTTCATGTTATAGTGACGCCCCACTAAGAACGATATTTTTCTGTAGAACTAAGACTGCAGAGGGGATTGAGTGTTGAGAGACTACTCTACCGTCCACCATCATCATCGACAGAAAAACATCAGTGTTCAACACAGGTGCTTCGTTGCCGTACAGTCACTATTTATTGGAAATTCACATTGTGAAGAAAGGAATAAAGGTGGAATGGGGAGGGACTCATTGCTAGCCTATTGCAAACATTTTCAGGTTCGTACACCTGAAAACAATCGTTCAGGCAATCTGGAGAGAAAGCGACAACAAGAGTGTCACTGACACCGGTTGGCAGCTATATCTTGAAGCGTCTCCAATCAGGAGCAAAGGGGATCACGTGGTCTCCATCCTGGAAGGCGAGTGGGACCGACAGCACCCAAACGTTCCTTAATCTCCTTCGTACGTTTCTGTCAGGTCAAGGGTTGGCCATTTCTGCTTCTGTCAGTCTAAGTTGGGCATGGGAAATAGCATTCTCCTCGGTAAACGATGGTTCGGCGTGCGCAGCCTACCCAACGCAGCTCCTGGTGCTGGACACATACTTTGATGGAAGTCCGCCTTGAACAACAGAACACCACCTCGTTACCGATTCGCCGACACTAGCCTATAACGACTATGGTTCTGAGACAACGGTAGCCGAAGACCCGATAACATCTCAGTCCCGCTGCCCGAAAAGGTCATGTTTTAGCCATACGACAAAGCAGTACTATAGCCTGATACACATGTCGCTCACGATTCAGGAATATGGTGCTTTCTCGTTATTGATGCTTTAAATGATGATGATTATGCCAGCAAACAAACGACGGACAACTTCAAGACCTATAAGTCTAGCGCTAATCAGGGAAGTCGCACGGCTTTGTATACTGTCATCAGCCGTTGTTCCAGGATCCAGGATGCAGAAAACCGGTTATCTGCATGGTCAAAGACAGGAATAAGCAAGTCCCAAACATTTAATCATAGACAAAATAGGTACAGAGTTAGAGTGGAGAAATGAAGCAGAAATTCAATCGAATGAAGCCATCTTAAGCGCCTGCCAGCCTACGGTGAGATGCACGAGCAGGTTTATCGAATGTCCGCAATAGAAAATATAACCGCACTCGGTCCAGTGCACCAAATCGCAGAAATTCGGATATAAAACATCCACATCCAGCGGCGGACTGTGTTCGTCAGAGCTCTAACCATTGACCAACCTGGCATGAGAGACTGTGTCACGGGGACACTCCCCAGTATAGCTCAATGGATCGCTGACGTGCGCAAACCGTCACACCACGGTAAGGTCCAGTCTCTTCGTGACATGATGACGGATTACTGACTGGCTACGTTATCAAAACTAAGCAACAAGCTCCTAATGAATAACTGAAAAACTACAGTGAAAAGGTGAACTAAAGATCCTTTTTGTTGAAACACTAAGGGCTGAAATGGCATCCCCTATGTCGAAGACCTTCCACTTTTCTTACAGCTGAAAAATCTATGGGCCAATGCGAAGTAGTCTCCGTTCATCAAAATGCATCATTCGAAGCATTTCTTTAGGACCACAGAATGCTTCAGTTTCTACGAGAAAAATAAAGTCGTTTGCGAACAGGTCCGATTATGATGTGAATCTTTTCATGGCATGCAGAAAAATGTTGAAAAAGGTTACAGTTTTTGCCGTATCATAATTGTTTCTAAGAATGCGAAAGATCGTGTCGATGAGGCGTACTCCCTGCGAAAGTGTTACATGGCACTAAGTTTACTGAGATCCACTGGTAAATGCAATAAGTTCACGCAGAATCCGGTAGGCTTGGTACGATAATTTCCTCAAGTTGAATCACCACGGGGGAATAGCACACAGTTTTCATCACAGGAATCCCCGAGAGACCGTTTTGGCAGCACGGTATCTTCCTTCATTGTAATCCTGCAAAACCCTCAGAATCGAAGAAACATTTTACGTTCGAAAATTGCTGAATAATTCCCCAAAAAGGAACATCGTAATGAGAAATCCCAGTCATATTTACTGGCCGACTGTCGCCTTGCACAGATGATAACATAAGCGCCGTTGAAGTAATTTCTTGTCACATTGGCAGAACTTTATCGACTATGCTTGGCCAGTTGATTAGGAAGGAATACGTTCCTAGAACAATTGTTACGAATATTCCATCATCGTAATATGGGTAGAGTCAATGAAGATGAAACATAGAATGAACCAACACAGAAAAATTATTTATTGGCTATTGATGTGCAGACGACTGGTCTGGTCACCGAGCTTGGTACGTTGAGAACACATCAACCGCCACCTGATCAACAGCATCGGAGTTAACACTATTTAGATTTACCGCCCCCTCAATATTTGTCGGTCTGCAATTATTTGTCATTTCTGTGTACATCTTAGACGTGCTTTACTCCGTTGTGTAGCGTTTACTCGAGCTTAGACAGACGGCACAAAAACCACGGGTTCACTATGTTACACCGGTAATTCTCAAACAATTTGGTTTCCATTAAGGAAACATTTTGGTATTCTTCGAAGACGTTTCCTGTCAGATGTGCTTTCCAGCAAACGTTTGCATAAAACATACAATGTGCAGCTTGTTCGCTTTAAAAATCGTAACAAAAAATAGCAAGGAACCAGAATCCCAATAGACGTACTACAGCGAACGAAAAGTAGCAATTGATTCACGTCGCCTATGGCTGATTTCGATGTGGTTAATTTGTCTGAGATTCGCTCGCATGTAGAGAGCACTATGTAGCCCAAGTTTCGGTTGGTTGGGATGTTCGTGATACCCTAAACCAGTTTCTGTCCACATCACTGCAGCAGGCGCTCATAACTGTCTGTGCGTATTTGGTATCATCCCAAGACGATCAGTCAGCTAATGCTCAGCAACACATCCGCAGAAGCATGGGGAAACCGACAGGCAAATTTGTTTCTCAAAAACCGTACTGGAAGTTTGGGTGCTCGTTTCAAGTGGACGTCACACAAGAACAGAAACCGAACGCAGGCTACAGGACTGCTGTCCAACTTGTTTCAAAGAGTGAAAACTGTCAGATAAACGCCGGAGTTGGAAGTACGGTTTTCAAGCATCCACGATGTATTGACCGAGTTACACAGTTACACAGTGGGTAGCAAACGAAGCTACCAGTCATTGAGGATCGGCCAACGAAAAAAACACTAGCGAAAACATACGGGTGAGGAAAGGAAAGACAAATGTACGAAAGAGAAAGGAATATCAGAAGTGACATATTTTCGGACCGTGCTGCATGCAGAAGGCAGAAAGATGGAGCTGACGTCACCATGAATCAGCGATTGTGCAGTGAAGTCACTTGTAGATGTGCAATTAACGACTGCAATTCAAAACGTACTGATGCTGTTAGACCATCTTGACCTAGGCAGAAAGGTCATCACCAAAAGCACTGACTCAGAGCCTGAACAAAAATTGGCGGTGTATGGCATAATACGGCCAAAACAGTCCAAATTATTAAAATGCAGGTTGCCGTTGGTGTTCCAACCCCCGAGTCTGGACAACCAACGATTATTCAGACCTATTTCAATTGATCAATCTAGTATGAGAAGCATTGTGAGTAACGCATGGAAAACCCCGTGTTTCACAATAGGTTACAAGGATGCTCAAACCGCCGTAGCGCAGTAAGATCCAGTTTACTTGTACCAAAAGTACGGATAGGCAAACAATGGGTAAATAGATCAGTCTACTGTCTGTGGAGTCGTAGACTGGAAGTTTTGTGAACACCCTCACCAGGGTTGCTTTCGTTAAATTATCCGTACACAGTCAAACACACCACACGGCCAAAAGATTCAAAGTGTAAATGACCCCGGACTAGTAGTGTCTTAATACAGCTAGGGTCCTTAGTGCCAACGCAAATAGGTCTCAATGAGAAACATCATTACTTTATCAATTCTGATCGGTCACCTTCGTCTAGCCGTTTTTTTCTGGAGTGCCACATGTTGCTCATCAAATCCTTCGGTGACCAGTAAGGAAACGACTCGGAAACAATCAGCTAGAGAAACAGTGTTCCCGCACCAACAAAAAGGAAAATTCCCTTCAGGGACACTTCTCGAAGCACGAAACTACATCCAGTGGAATCTCTAGTTAAGGAAGCATGTGCTCAGAATGGAGTCTGAGCTTTTGCTAACAAAAACTGATCTGATCGACAGATTCGTATGGCCAAAATATCCAGCGTGTTGTAGATTAAATGAACATACAATTAACGTACGACCACTCAATATCTATCAAGGTTCCAGATATCTCAGTAGTTAAAGCGCAAGTTTACTGATAGTAGGATTCGTGATTCGAACCAAAACTTTGAATCTTGACTGCTCCTACCTAGGGTTGGACAACCTGGCAGCATCTCAATCCTCGTACTTCCTTCGGACGGCATAGCAGCTGAGCAATGAGTAATGATGCTAATGATTTGATGCTATTTAATCATTTAACATATGGTATTCGATTTTTTGGCTTTTATTCGAGTAAGACTAGGTAGCGAAAGCACAACTCGTTCGTATTTGTCCCCGTGAGAATGTACTAGCATTGATCACAGTTTCACCGGTGGAAGATCCTTGGATAATTAATTGGAGCATTGTTTTCGGCCTGAATGAAACATGCCACAGGCCAACAAATGCGGTTGAAAAAATCTACAGAGGTGAAGTTCTATTAAGCAAGAGCAGTCGGCGCCGGAGACTGTTCCGCTTTACGCCCCCTCTCCCGCCCGGGTAAATACTTCCACAGACTGGGAGGTTTGGTGTCCCCGAAGACGGTTCCTCGTTACGGAAGTGCTGTATCAGCATTACTAACAGGGTTTCAGATAGCATCTACTATCGTCCGGGTGAGTACCACAGCCCATTTCAACAAGGCATCTAAGTGTTTAGGTTGAGAGACTGTATTTCTGTATTCATTGATACCCCATGATGCATTGCATCATAACTTTTGTTCCAGTGTTCTTTTTGTATTACATCGTAGTTCATTATATTCTGTTGTGTTATAAAAAATTACATCTTACCCACCTTAACATTCTTGATCATCCGGAATGCCAAGCCCACAACAGTGCTATAGGTGACGCTGTGACAATCGTTTCAAAACTAAACTGTATAATAGGTGGTTGCGACTCATGAGTAACACGGGCTACCTCATCACCTTTCGCATGCCTTGTGTCCACAGGTGAGGATTATGGACCACCATTTGGACTGTATTGAACCACATTTCTTGGTGGCAGAGAATCAAGGAGGTGCAATCAAAACTTGCGCTGGTATTCGCTTGACTGTACAATGATGGGACTATCCCCGCTTTACTCCGCGGTGTTTGCACGTGGTACAGCATTCTCACGTTAAGTTCCACAGCGACATATGCTCTGAAACTATACATATGGTTGATTGCGATCCGAATCGGATTTATCCGCCAGTAGTGGTCAGACAATTGGACGATTATACACAGCAGAAAAGTAGGTGGTTTGCGATAAACCAAATGTGCTGCCGCGAGCAAACACTGCGCCATGAAGTGTTACCGGAAACCACCCGGTAATGGATGACCTGACAGTATTCCCTTAAATCTACATATATATTAGCTCTTCAACAGCCTAGTTTTCTCGGATACTGTCACGTCGAAGATGAATGAAGACCTTCGAGTGATATACTGACAACAAACCCACAAAATCCGCAGCTTAGTTGCAAATCCGAGGAAAGCAGTTTCGTGCTGGAATAAGGGTATCATGTCGAATACAATGAGCTCTGACCACACCGTTGATCGGCAACTGTTAACCAGGAGTGCGGACCGTGCACTAGGCTTCAATGTTTCCTAGTGCAGCCTACTATTCACCAAAGATTGAGTCAAAGGGAGTGGAGATGATTGAGTGCATATATCTGGAGAGGTTTGGCTAAGGACATAAAAGTGTATTGATTTACCATTAGATCCTCAAGATGGTTCTGGTGCGCGAGTGTCATTCACACCGTGACTGGAATACGTCTGTGGGCGCCTCCAAGTAATTCTACATCATCCTGTAGAAGCTAGTTGGAAGGGTGACATCTGTCGACGTAACCCATTTTGGTGATAACATTTGGTTACAAGAGCGCGAATTTACTGAATGGAAGGTCCATGGTTCGAACCAGACCTCTGCCTCCCTGTCTAGGTTTAGGCAACCTGGCAGTATTCCAGCCCTCGTGCTTCCTTCCGGTGGCATGGCAGTTAGGCACCGAAAGAGTACTAAAAGCTGAACGATATTTTGGGGGTGGTCAACATTGGATACGACCTCAACGAGTACTAGTAGCTGCATTCTTCTGTGTCTTAGCATGGTTAGCATGATCACTCGTGCAGATCCGTGTAGACTATTGACGACGAAAGGATAATTTCAGAAAGCTCTAGAAGCATTTATGCACTGCCGAAACTTCACTTCGGAATAAGTAATGGATAGTTCTATCGATCAAATCAGTTTTGCTGGATGAAGCTGAACTCGCAAAAAAAAAACCGTCCGCACCTAAACAAATTCTATAGAAATCGTACTCATAGAATGAAATAATGTACCATCATTTGGTTAACTCGGGTACGGTTGCCAGTAGGCACTTGTATCCCAGTATGCAGGCTTTGTCTAGATAACTTGTTCCCATGTTGCTTCAATGTCAATTTATGAATGTTGTGCCTTGAACTATTCAAATGAAATCAGAATAGGGCTACGGCAGACCACGGAAGGGCCATATCCACTGAATCCACAAATTCGAAAAAATGAATCTCACAGGCTCTGTGAAAAACACGTCAACTGAACCAAAGCAGTATTTCTTGTACACGAGAACATTCAAGTCCTGCGAGAAGAGCACTGGACGATCCTTTGATGTAATTTCTAATATTTTCTGAACACCCACTAACCCATTCAAGAATAATTCGCAAACCCACTGAATCACAATGGTCATTGGTGTACGACCATGAAAGAGCACAAGAAAAAAACGGATACAGTGGGAAAGAAAGTGGTTTATATTTACAACTAGAACTTAGAAAATAAGGTACATTATACACATGTAGAAGAGGCGGACCCACACACATGAGTTATGTACACTTTGTGGCGGGATCGGCGTGTGTTTTCTGTGATTCGAAGTAGTGAAAACTCGCCATCTTGTGAATTAGGAAAGCAGAAACCATCGGACAGTTTTGGAATCACTGTAAATATGATGTAAGTTTCGCAAAACAGTCGACTCATTTCTAGTAACAGTTTTACAGGGTTTTGAGGTAAGGGGCGAACCAGTCGAACCATAAGACATGTTACAAAGTGTAATCAAACTGAGGAAATAGAGAAAAATCACAGATCAGCGTTGCAGTGGTGCGAGGCCGTCGTGGACTATGAAGATTAACAAGGCTGGCCTAGTGTAGCGTCGGTTGGACAGGTAGACGGAGCAACACATCAGGTGGTTCGTTTCGATAATATTTCACTTTCTCGCAGGTACCTGTGGAATAGTCCATGTGCAGATAGGTGTCAGCAGCCACATCCATTAACTGGCCGGTGGCTTGGTTTAACACTCGCTCTCTGTACTCGCTGAGGTGAATACGTAGGGTGTTCCCGGTTTCCGGGTGCGGATTTCCTGTAAATAGAAACAGGCGATCATGTAACTTAGGAGGATTTCTCGCAGTGCGACATAAAAAAAACGAAAAGGGATGTGGTAATTCAGTGTCAAAATTCATAGGGTAAAAAGCTGTTCAGCATTCACATGAAGTAGCGATTGGCAGTTGGCCCACACTAACCGAGCTCTGGAACGAAGAACAGCGAACACAATCAAACCATCGGTACAAGTTAACAAAGAGAGTCAATAAAGTGTTATACTGATTGACCATAAACAGTTTGAACCGAGCAAGCAATCTGAGTGATCGTTCCTCCACTGCTTATTTACGTCGAACCCGCTAGAAGGTTACGTAGCAGGTGTCGCGTAACCCAGGATAAGCCCAAAGGGAATAATCTATTGAACAATTAGACTAGGGCGCTAAACAATAAGGTGTGGACAAGGTAACCCTTCAAAGCCCGTGAGAATCACGTAGTGACATGCTGGTGGTCAGACTTCATATCATTCCTGTGTGATCACGTGAGCTCCGTTAAGGCACAGTGTGTACAAACCTCTCCCGGCCTCTTTCGTAAAACACACTAAACTAACGTAATCCCAGTAAAGATCGATCTAGATCACACCACTAGTCGGACTGGTATTACTGGAAAAAGAATTGGGCTCGTGACGCCATACAAGTTCGATCACTCCCCACAGACAAAATAAGATGGATTCGAAGCTATGAAGGAAGTTGAGATGACTCACCCCGTGCTCCCGCTATAAAAGAAACGATCATGGCCTTCTCAGGTCTGGATACACGATTCGCGCCTTGGAATAGACTCTGAACGGAACTAAGTTGCGCCTCGGTTAGGCGAAGGTCATCTTGTATCTTGACGGCAGATTGACCACTTGTAACTACTAGATTGGATTGGAATTGCGATGAGGCCAGAGTGTTGGTAGGTTGTGAACACGGGACAACAAGACGCCCGTCCGACTGCACCATTGGTTCTTGTGCGCCAGTATATAATGTGGTGTTTTGAGTACCTTGGGGTTCGGAATGAACGATACTCAAAGTCTGCTGTTGCTGCCCAGGTGTCGACGTAAATGACACAGGAGTCGCACCAGCCGGACGGGGCATAATTTGAATATAACCAGATGGAGGCGACTGTGAGATGGAAGAAAATATCGATACTGAATCTCAAGAATCAAAAAAGGGTAAACATAAGTTTGAACAAATGTTGTCAGAACACGTGATGAAAGATCTCCAAAGACATTATGGAGACCAAAACCTACAAGAGTCCCTATTTCGACGCACACCAAACAAATAAGTTGAAAGCGAAGCCCGTGAAAATGCATTCGCTATCAGTTGAACGAGACACACCACACCCTATAAGAAACTAAACAAAACATTGCTTTGGTCTAAACAGTTTTTGCACTAATCTGATAGCCTTGGAGCATAACAATTACATGAAAGGATGGATGTTAGCGCCAGAATACCCCCGTAAAAGGCACAAGTATAAATGATATAGAATGATGCACAGATGTGAATAACTGACCCACCCTCCAAATTACATCACATTCTCGCAGATATCTAAAGTAGACTAGCAACTCAACCCGGTGGCACGGGTTGAAAAAACCACATCAACCGCCGACAGATGGGACTGAAAACAGCCAGCTGTCCATAACGTGCAAATGGAAGCCAAAAGACTCGAGTCTCTAGCTATGACTAAACAGCATAACAAATGTGGCTCGGTCACATAGTAATAATGATCTTCCGTATAAGCTACCATCATCAATGAATTGTCATTCCGTCGCAATTTCAAAATTGGAGTAGGTGAATGTGAACTAAGTAACCCGTCGTCAGCATTTCTGTAATTCAGGCCGGTACATTCAATAAATGGCGTTCTGTTCCTTATCGATATCTACCCAACTTACACGGTGTGTAGCAAACATAGCAAAACAGACAAGCTTCCCGTAAAGAGACGAACGCGTATTAAAGATGCTCAATTCGACGAATAGACAGACGATGATCAGTTTTTTGCCATAAACGAATGCCCAATTCCCTCAAACAAGTGTCCACACCACATCAGCTTACACCAGACACATAAGAACATTCGGATGTTAGAATCAACAACATTCGGGAGTAATGACTTTCGGAATAAAAGAAGCAAATATCAACGCTGGAAATAAACTGGTAAATACCCTAATCTTGTCTTACGCAATGCGATGATTTAGCCATCACATGCATTCGCTAGCTCAGTTCCCAAATGCACTGGTCTGATGAAGGAATAAAATAAGTTCAATAAAAGCAGCTCCAAAAATAGGCTCAAGGGATAAGTTGGAAACGATCCAACAACCATTGTCAAACGTGAAAAGAGAAATATCGGATAGTATTAAAAGAGTATCAGACACACCTGAATCACGGGCTTAGGAGAAAGCATAGTTCCTGTTGGGGGTGATTGTGGACCGGTCATACCCACCACAGGAGCTAAGATGACCTGTCGGCCATCCACCATCCAAGCAGTATTTGTCATTCGAGGATCGTTGGAGGACAGAGAAGTTGGTTGTACCTGTTGAAATTGAGCGGGTGCCATTTGCACCGAAACTGGTTGGTTCTGTGAAGGAGCCGGGGAAATGGGAACAGGCTGCTGTGGTTGACGAGGTCGGAGTCCCACGACGTTGTTTGCAGAAGCCAAACGGACCACAGGTGTGGGTCGTGGAGCGATCCGGATCAGGCCAGTGTTGGTTCCCGGCGACATTGTTGCAACAAGCCTAGTGGTTGCTGTAGCAGGCCTCGATGAGAGTGCGCCTGATGGTACCTGTGAAAACAAATACGGAGAACGGGGTGAACCTAACTGAAAGAAGCATTAAGACGGAGTTAAAAGATAAGATCAGACTGCCATAAGAATTTTGAATTGAGGGAATTCTGAGCAATAGCAGATTAGTTGAATGGTGCTCACGCAGACATACCGTTTCGCCAAGCCTCCAAGCACTTCGAAAAGTATACAGTAAAACTCACATATCTTGACTCGAGAGAAGGACTGTCAACCTTCTTTGTCTTGGAAATATCAAGTAAGCAAAATCTACATTACTTTGGCGAAGTACTTAACCGAACGTATCGGCAAATTTCGGGTAACCAAATAAATGTCCCGTTACAATGTGTCACATAGCAGGACGTATTCAGGATCTTCAAATCATTCTCAGCATGTGACTTATCCAATCGGCGCAGAACAGGACTGCTGAACTATTGTGAGCTTTTTCAACACCAAGAGCAGTTTGGATTTCGGTTCGAAACCGAAACTCTCAGGTTGAGGCTCGCGCCAACTCGAAGGCGGTTAATCTGCAATGAAAGCGGCTCCCGATGAACCAAATGCTGCGATTCGTCCTTCTTTTCGCAAGCACAGTCATTCCAAGTCAAAGTATTTGCAATGAAATTTGCCCCTGTGGTTGGTCAGCGTTTTTCTCCACCGCTATGATCGCGCGGACCAGGCCCAATGAATTTTTTTTGTTTGGAAAGACTGCACTATTTTACATCCAGTTCCTCCGAACTATGGTTGCTTCCCCCACCAAATGAATCAACCGCTTTTCTGGAATCAGGGTGGACGTGGCGTACTGTACCTGCAGAAGCATGGATGTTCGAAAGAACACCAAAGTGTGCATGACCCCATCCACCTCAGAGCGCAATTGGTGGCAAATTTGGCCGCCTGAAGTGTTTACCGCACGTTACAGCAGCTGCATTGATCCGAGGATACGGCTATGGTGCTCACGATGGCGAGGGCTGACAACATTGATGGCAAGAATGTAATTTTTCTTGATAAAATCGCTTTCGAAACTGAAAGCTTGTGCAGCCGCAGACTGATACCAGCCTATATGCAATCCTGTATGAAGCAGAAGAGCTCACAAAGTGACATCCAGCTGCAAATTAAGAGCAAGTAGATCACCCAAGGATAAAACTAATGAATCTTCATTTTTTAGGTTCGCAATAACAGGGCTTGTTGGCAAACCAGATTTCCCAAGAGTCTAACTTAAAAGCATAGGAAGAGCCGAACGAGAACTATCACCAAAAGCACGGGATTCTATCCACTTCAACCCGTTCTACAGGATGTCGTGACAACAAACTGAAAATCCCAGGAAATTGTGAGATCGTTCACTTTCTTCACGACTGTGCCGAGATGGCTCAGTGGTTAAAACGCTGACTTACTGACCGGAAGATCTGTGGTTCGAATCCAACGTCTGCATCTCGGCTGCCCTTGTTTAAGACTGCGCAACCCGCCAGTATCTCAGTTCTCGTGCCTCATTCAGGTGGCATGGCAGTTAAACAACGAAAGGGTGTTACTGCTGAACGATTATTATTATCAATGGTTTCAGTCGCAGTTTGAAAAACTTTGGAACCGCATTAGGGTAGTAGTAATAGTCCGTAGTTCGGAGGTGCTCAGTGTTTCATGCACGGTATCGTATGAGTATCACATAAACAAAAGATGGAAAACACAAGTGCAAATAACCAGAAATGTCCTCGCGAAAGAGGCTAAAACGGGTATAAACCAGAGGGCACAGCAATCATTGCACTGGAACGACACAAGGTCCCCTACGTGTTCAGACGTTTGCTTCTTCCGCCTTAGACCTTACAGCAGGTCCAGGTGAATCTTGCAGATGGAAGCCAGTGGAGTCTAACTATCGAAGTTGATGCGGTTATCTATGATAATCACTATGGTAGCCGTGGAGCAGTTGTCACGAGCCTAGTTAAACCTAGCGATTTGCTGTACACTTCATCTAAATCAACAATTTAAAACCCAAATAAAAGCACCGTGCAAAGCGGATAGCGAAACGGGTGAACCTAAGCAAGAACAACGGTTCCCATACAACTGGGAAAACTTATAAACCTGTGGAGAAAGTGCCGTCACAAGAACGTTCGCTTTACAAACTTCGAATTGCTATACAACTTGATCAAGCACTCCCTGAATGAGAAATGATACAGCAAACGACTAGCCTGGGGTCTGAATCGTGGTAGGTTTACTTTTAGTATTAACGGCCCTGAGTTCGGTAGAGCCTGTTACCTACAACTGGTTAATTTAGGGACTAGCAGTGACAACATCGGGCGAGATGGCTCAAATGGATACAGCGCGAATTTACTGACCGGAAGGTCCGTGGTTCGAATCCGACCTCCACTTCTGGACTTCCCCTGTCTAGGCTTGGGCAACCTGGCAGTATCCCAGCCCTCGTGCTTCCTTCGGGTAGCATGGCAGCTAGGCACCGGAAGGGTGTTACAGCTAAGCGACTTTCATTTTTTTAGTGCCAACGTCACACGTGTTCCAGCTCCTTCACTTGACACTGCTATGGCTCGTTGGTGTTCCGTTAACTGATATTTCCGTTCACTTCTCAATAACAGAGTAGCAACGGCGTGGCTAGTGACATGGGAACAAACGTGGCTAAGCTGATGCCATCAGAAATGCGAAAATCATCATATAAAAGCCGAGTAGAAGTGAACATTTTAGATAACTGTTATCCCTGAGGGAATGTTCTAGAGGAACTTCCCCGTAAAGCACGCTGGAACGACCACTGTCATTGGTCAAATTAAGGTTGAATTCGTACGAGGACGGCACTAATCAACTAAGAACACGTTCTTGGCTTCCTTTGAAGTTCTGGAGTTTATCAAAGAATCAGAAGGCTAATGCGGCCCGAATACTCGGATTGAACAAACTACAGACCACGTTGCGTAAATTGGCAGGACAAATGTAAGGGTAGTCATTCCTCGTTCGCAAAGACAACAGTGGCGCATAATTACTTACAACAACCCTTATGGGTTGAATTAGCCGTGGTTGACTGTCTATTGATGCAGATGCTGCTGGATAGGTTACCGCGCGGAGAGTAGTGGTGCTTGATCCGGACCCAGGCGCTGGCTGCAATGTAGTCAACGTAGTAGTCCCAATGGAACTGCTGGGAGGACGATTTGGAGCACCTGCTCTCGTATGAACTGGTTGTACAAATCGAATTTGAGGACCGGCGTGAGTGCCAGATATGAACCGAATTGTTCCCGGAACGCAGGCTTGTGTGAAGATAGTGCGAGGTGTAGGAATACCGGCCCGCATGCCCTGACCGCTGGTGGGTAGACCAGTTGACGGTAAACTTGTGGTAAAGGATGGAGCGATTGTCTGCGACGCTGGAATTTCGCAAAGCTCATAAGGTGAATAGGAGGCGTTCGCCGTAGACATCACCGAACAGGGAGCATAAACTGTGGAATAACTGGTCTGAGCCGGTGGAACTTCAGACAAGTTGGATCCGTACAGAGAAATGCGGGCTGAGGGATTGAAGCCACTTCACAAAAGTAAAGAAGATACAAATTTAAGATGAACTGAGGAAAAAAATGTACGCTCATTGGTGGTCATCAGAGCATGAACAGGTAGGTCAAGGCAGACTTCCCGTCTGCCAAAGTACAAAACCAGGAACAGTACAAACCCGAAAATCTGCAGATATTATACGGTTAGGCCAAAGTAACTAGACTTTGAACTGCGGATACCAATAATGATGAGCCGTCGGTTAAGAAAGCCTTGGCCAGCAAGATTCACCATCTACAGCTGGTTACGTTAGACAAACCAAAATAATCTACCGACAGACTTTGTAATGGAGCCCCCGGATGCATTTAAATTTGCATGAACTCGGGGTTTTAGTTGGAATTTCCAGTCTTCTCTGTTTCATCGTTCATCCAATTTTAAGTTGCGCTTGTGCTGCGCCTTCTATACACGAGAAGGAACCGAATCTAACTCTGTGTGCGTCCACAAGTTGATGCACGAAACCTGTAAGGGGATTGGATGCCAACATTACACTAGACGTGATCCTACAAGGCGCGACTGGGTAGGCCTGGTGGTGACACTTATGTGCAAAGGCGTGTGTACGGCGATTAACCAAAAAGGATACCAGTATGCGTCTGCCTAAACCATCAAACCAAATCATTCCGGTGTGGTGACGCTTCGGTACACAGTTTCCATACACTACGGTAGGAGTACCAGATCTGAACCACTTCCAGATTGCCCAACCCTAAGCATATATATCCGAAAAGTCAGAGGCGAATCCTGTCACATTCCTAGCAGTCAAGAGCTCGTGCGTCACTCCTGAAATGATGTGAGCTCGGAGAGCGAAACCCTACTAGTGGCAGGACTTATAACACTGATGAAATACTTCCACATGTTCTATACAAAGGAAACCCTTGGTGGATTAAAAAACGAATGACGAACGGTAGAGGTACACGAATGAAAATAAGGGACTAGACCAACTCCATGAGAGAAAACCAACGATGCGGCAATGCTGAGAGCCAAGACTACTAGCGAGTAGTCGGATTGCTGACGCTGACTTTGAAGTTAGGGGGCAATAAAGCGTATGGAGACATACTTAAAGAAAATGAACCAGACTGAGCAACTACATAATCAACTGATTTCTTCAAATAAACCGTGTATATAAATACATGGCTAAATATGAAAGAACCCGAAATTAACGCCAGACAAGTCTCAGTAGTATGTATACAGTGGGAGCACACAAAAGGTCAGTAAACCTTACCGGAATTCAGAGGAAATACCCAGCTGATAAGTGCCCGAACTCATATCCTGCATCATAAGACCGTCGTTATCATCGTCATCGTCATCATCGTCATCTACGACACCTTGAACAACATTCATCCCCGAGGAAACGGATAAGAGAGGGTGTCGGACCATCAAACTAGTATTGTTGGGCCTGCCAGAAAGGAGTAAGTTACTTCCTGCAGTAGCTGGTACCGAATTCACAAAGCTTGATGGACGGGAGACATCCGCCAGTCGGTCAGTTGTGGTACAGCTTGGACGGAATGTTGAATTGTCGCGCAAGCTTGAGATGACCCCGTTTCCTTTATTATACGTAGGATCCACCTCGGAATTCTGTGTCCCTGAGTTGGGTGCAACCGATATGGGAGCAAGAGCTACATCAGTCCAACTTGCAGATGCAGGTTGTTCTCGAGCTTCCATGAGATTTTGTTTCTCGGATAAACGGGCGATTTTAGCAGCTTGTCGGGCGGCTTTTTGTTCTTTGATGCGCTCCTCGCGTTCTTGACGTTTGAGTTCTCGCTCCTTCTCCATTTGTTCTACGTACGAGGGGGAAAACCGGGACATGAAAACAGCAGTACAAAAACCTAGCCACCCGTGTAACAGGTGCGGGATTAGGGAGATTTTGCGAGTAAGTATGTTTCAACCTACTCATATTTGGGAAGTAGTCAGAGATAATGACAGCGTCGCTCATACTGCCAACACGCATCCTCAGGGAACAGTGAAATCACAATTTTGGGGTTCTGAAGCGAAATCTCGAACAAAATATAAGTACAAGAAGAAAGTCATCCATAGTGTACAAAATTTGTGCGCGCAAACCAGATGGTTTTTACGACAAATGTGTGCGGGTTGGCCTTTCTTTAGTTTTCAGGGGACTTGGAAATGGATGGAAACATTGAAGAACGCTCTAAGCAGTAAAATTGCGGGTTTCGATCACGCTGTCCACTAACCATGGACTAGCCGAAAGGCAGATTACTATTTCAAGTAACTACCGTTTCCACAGCGGTTACAGTGGTCAAGTAAAAAAAGTAAAAATAGCTGGCAAGCACTTGCCCGCCAGATTGCCTAAGTCTAGATAGGAGAAATCAAGAGGCAGAGTTCGGGTTCGAATCACGGACCTTCCGGTCAGTAATTAGCTCTCTAAGAGGCAGAGTTCGGGTTCGAATCACGGACCTTCCGGTCAGTAAATTAGCTCTCTAACCATTGAGCCACCCCCATGTTCGGTTTCCGACCTTGGAGCAGTCAAATGAATTCATCGTGCGTAAGAAGGACGACCGACGAATAAACCTTTCACAAACGAATTCAGACGCCATGATGTTGCACATTTTGTCGGTGCTTGTTAACATTGCGATCGTATTCCACTAGGGCTTATTATCTGTTCAATAATAAACACTTCTTTTTGAGCCCGTTACAAAGCTAATCTGACTGAGTTGACCAGAATGAATTAGCCAATCCAACTTAATTGTGATAAAGTGCCTTGAGTGAGCTTAAAAATCCAGTGCTCCGGTTTCCTGGTTGTTGGGATTACGGTGCCCACAGAAGCATTGTGTCTGAAGAAAAATGTGAACCATTGACCTGGGATACCATTTTATCGCACAACAGAGATGAAATCCGTGGGAAACACTATGAGGAGCGAGAACATAGGCATGAATCGGCCTCGGATGGCGGAAAGAACTGAATGTCTCATGCATCTTCATGACTTGTGAGCTTCTTGACAAAATGAGGCTAACGTTTTGGATCTTATATTCACACCCAAACGCACTGTGACATACGAACATACGCAAGTCAATAAGAGTCAACGTATGTATTCTCTCATGAAAAGCTATTCCAAACACAGTCTCGCCAACAGTGGCAGTATACAGTATGAAGAGTTATCGTTATCGCTTCAGTGTGTTGATCAGATGAATCCGACGATTTAGGTGCCTTGCGCCTGAAGTTTCACGGATTGGTTTACTATCTTTTCCACTTCATTTCTCCTGTTTTGGTTACTTTGGTTACTTTACCTATTTAACTCAAGCTGTTGAAGGCTATCAGACTTGCAGAAACAATATCGGAATAGTATCAAGAATTCCGTATTGGCTTACTATTGGGGACAAAATAAAGCAAGTATTTCGACAACCATCTGCGATGCAAAAAAAATTATGGCGAGAATCCCATGCAAAGAAGTGGCCTGATTTTTATGCCGGAAACTATTCATAAGGTTGCTGAAAACTCTTCGACGGCCCAGTTAATTTGGTCTAAAGGGGACATAAATGAAATCCAGCTAAATCCCTCCGTTAGGATATTCTTCAGCGGAATGTTCTGCAAGCAGAACAAGTCGGTGTACGAATAAGCGTGTTTCGCTCATTTCGTGCACTCTGAGTTTAATAGGAACATAAGGTTGACGGAAAATCAGGGACTACGCCTATCTGATGAGCCCCGAGATGGGCGAAACCGATCGTAGAGTATCTAAAAGCCTTCAGCAACCTTAAGGGTAGCTTATTTCACGAAAAGGTGTGCTGCGGTATCTCGCATAGCGTATCTACTGAAAAACGATGTGTTGTTTGTGCAATACATTCATTTTAAGACTATCAAGAACGGGAGGTTAAATTGGAATTCGGGTGAATCTTCCGTGAAAACCAAATTAGTATGCAAATCAGTGCATTTGACTTGCTGTTATTCTGTTGTCGTGTTGTTCAATGGTTAACATCTTCACTTGTTAAACAAGAAGTGTAGCGTTTCCCACAGGGAATTTCTGGTATACCGAAGTGAACTGTTGGGAGTAGAACTCCGATTTCTGAAACCTATGACCTTGGTCACTGGGCTAATCAGGTTCTCCGTTAACGAAAGCGGGCAGCACGGGTTCTGTCAGGCAGACAGGTTTGGTGTTTGTGTGTTTATCAAGCTACGTGCCTAATGGATAGCTACAGAGAAAGCAGTTTTCTTGCTACGTTGTTCAAAACTATCGTTGCTGAAACTGGTAACTTAGCATAACTGCCTAGCTGTCCGGAGGCCACCCGTCCCTAATAACCGAACATCACATCATGTGGATGGATGTGTCACGTGCAGTTTACGAACCAAACGAGGGCATGTCCTGATTGGCCAGAATGCCAGCCAATCTGATTCGAGCATCTTCAGCTCGACGCTTCTTGCCCCTTACGGAGATTTTGGCACGACCTTGTGGGACACTCTGTGATTACCCTATAAATACAGTTGCAATGATCTTCCATTGTCTCTATAAAGGGCCGTCTGAAACTACCGTGCCAACTGATATACCATAGTGGGCGGAGCAGGAGGCCAAGGGACCGATGCAGGGTTCCACGACCATTCAGCAAGTCACAACACAAGCCTAAAATGAACTGGTTCACAGTCCTGGACCTTGAATGACACGACCATCAGGGAAGCTAGTGAATAGCACACAGAACATCAAATACACAATTTCCAAAAGAAAGGCCATGTGATATTAAAAAAAAACATAGTCGCGCTATAGGGAAACACAAGAAGAGTGAGCGATATTGGGTTAAGACAGCCTTTCAGACCACAAACACACTGTTCTGAAACACAAACGTTACATGAATACAAGAAACAACGGATAAGAGTGCGCACTACAAAAACGGAGACAATTCATTGACAAAATTGTATGGTGAGCCGAGTCTCACGATGAATTTTATCACCTACAGGTAAGCTGGTGTGCAGGATGACCGAAAAGAACAAGGAGCAACTCACCTTTCCTCAGTTGCTTTGCTTTTGGACCAAAAGCTGGAAGTTCATCAAAATCTAGGAGTTTAATTCGTGACGGTTTTCGGCAGTTGGCAGCCGGAGAGCGAGCAGTCAAACGCTCAGAAGGAGTCAATAAATTTGGTGGCTTATCCAAGAGATCTGCATTCGGTCTGGGCCAAGGGAGATTAAGCTTACGAGCAGAATGTTCGGGGGAGCAGGACCACGAGGAAAGACTGGGAATTTTTCTGTTCTGGTTGGAAAACGGGGTTCGCCTCAGAGAGTGATTACTTAGGAAGCCGGAGTTATCCGCATCAGCATCATCCTCCGTCTCATCAGACCGAGCAAAGCTTCGCCCAGGAATAGGGACATGTACCCTTCTACGTTGGCACTCATCCGTCAGTTTCTCCAAATAAGTTTCTTTCAAAGTTAATGTGTGTGGTTTGTCACGACAACGGAAGCCCAAGCCACGTTCCGTACGCCGTTCCAGAGAACCACAAGGTTGTTTCCTCCCAGAAGAATGTAAGTTTTTTGTTGGAGGTTTACTCTTTACAGTGGATAGCACATTTTCACCGAGACATTCGGCCAGTAGTGGAGTAGTTGTCACTTTCCATCCATGTGAATGCTTCAGCAATTTCTCTATATTTTTTCGGAACGCCTCGTTAGTTGGAGAAATGTCGAAATTCAGATAGTTCAGGGATTGTTTCGTGTGTAAAATTGTGGCAACCGCTTTGACCAAGTTGTTCTCCTCATCCAAGGCTTGGAGGAAAATACTTTCTACATGCCTGTCCACCTAGGGTAACAATCGCAAGAAAATATAAAAAAAAGAAGTGGGATAAACGTGATGTGTCGCACTAAAGACCTCAAATCCATTATATAAGTAAAACATTTATTCACCACGTATTAGACTTAACGCTTAGTGATCAGACAATGCAGTCATCCTGATGGGACCCTATAGGTCCAGCGGTGCTACGCTGCCAAAAGATTGTACGCCGTATATAACCTCAATCCTTGTAATTCCGGGTTGATACAGTAATTAAGCAGTGAAAGAACACGGCAGGTTGATTGTTCTTCACTATAGTGAAATCACATAAGGTATCGTATACAGTCCTGATAGCGCCCAAACCATACGCCATGAAGATATGTTTGTCCACATGACCGAGACTATAAGCCATCATTATCACCCGATTGTATGCAGTGGCAATCTTGAACACCTCGTTTCATTTCTAACTTAATCACCATATTGACCAATGGCAGCACTATACCAGTGGGTCACAAAGCCACTGCTAAGTGGCAGACTTAGTTTTGCGACTAACCGGAAAATTATGTTAATTTGTATTGAACAAAGACGTGAACTGAGCTGAACTGTGTATTCCAAAACGGCAGTCAAAGATTGGTCTTAACAAGACCGGTAAACGTATACCGGTACGCGTACACATACATTGAGTACCTATGCAGTCTTCCCTTGAAAATAGGCGGACAGAAAACACCATCTTTAAAACCCACACACCTTCGTTGCACAATGAAAGACATTCAATAAACCATCATCAAAGACAGCAACATTTATGTAGCCATTGATGCTTCATGGCCTCTCAACATGATTCAGATTACTAGCGACAAGTCACAGACATTAGTTCCAGCTGCTACAGCTTCGGTCACCAGAAAATGGGAGTGGACGTGAAATAAGCATTAGATACCATCAGCATCAAAATCATTATCATCATTAGAGACACCAACATCAAAGTTGACATTATTGCCTCACTGTCGTACAACTACAAAGTTCGTCTAACCACTTAATGCCCTACAATGAGAGGAAGAGAAAAGAGTGAGGGAGGGAGGGGACCCGATGTTGGCCTATGGCAAGCGTTAGAGGTGCGTACTCCTCTAAGCGCTCAATCAGAAAATCTGGAAAAAAATCTACAGCACGAACGCCATTGACACCGATAAGCCACTATTTGTTGAAATGGCTCCAGCTGAGCGCAGGGGTAGGAGGTCGCTGGAACCCCATCCTGGAATATGGACTGTACCAACGACACACAAAACCTTCGTAATCTCTTTCACATTTTTTTGCCAAGTCACACGTTGTCCACCTCGCAATTTGCGCCACTCTGAAGGAGACATGAGGAACAAGGATAGTCTCGGTAGACGATGTTTTTTTGATGCGCGGCACATGGCCAATCCATCTCAGTTGACGGTGTTGAACCAAGGTGCGTTCAGCTGTAGCACCCTTCCGGTGCCTAGCTGCCATGCCACCCGAAGGAAGCACGAGGGCTGGGATACTGCCAGGTTGCCCAAGCCTAGACAGGGGAAGTCGAGTGGCCGAGGTCGGATTCGAACCACGGACCTTCCGGTCAGTAAATTCGCGCTCTAACCACTTGGGCCATCTCGCCCAGGGAAACCGAGTTATACACTAAGTCTTTTTAGTAACTTGGACAACCACATGGTGGAGCGTCAACAAATGTGAGGTGTTGCAGCAGGAACGTGAAAGTCACTATCCGCTTTCGCTCATCTTTATCTTACCAGACACCTGGTCATCCATACTGCATTTCATTCTTTCGACTTATCCCTGTACTTGTATTGTAATAACTGCGGCACAAATCGTGTAGTTACTTAACTGTTAGGGTTCAATTCGTAGCTCAGTCTTAGCGCTGTATACTTAAATGTTCGGACAGTTACAACCAAATTCGCCAACGTTAATCGATAGATTGCACATTCGTCTACTTCGGATATACATGTGTACAGCCTGGGTACAAGTCCGAAGGTCGCTACTCGTCACACCTTATGTGATCACTTTACTGCTATCCATAGGTTTATCTGAAAAGCATTGTTTTCAACGCTAGCCCACCCGTACATTGTTGCCCATATATCGATCAGTTTGGCACAGTCCGACCTGCTACTGTACATAACCCAACCACACCGATATAGACTGAAGTGGTTACCAACTGGCAATGGAGGTTCACTTTCTTCATGTACGTAACTGCATATACGGTATGCTAATTGTCCTGTAAACTTAAGTTACACTAACGCATAGCTGAATTTGCCGAAACCATGTAATCGGGTCCACAGAGGGGTAGTTATCTTGTCATTTTGTTTGTGTCATCCATCTTAGGTTTTTACGCGCTGCACTGGTCTACAAAGCGAGCTGTGACAATGTCTGTCATTTTTTGGGCACGGAGTATATAGTCTCCTTCACAAATATGCTTGATAATGTAGCCATCCGCAAGTTTGTTTTGGTTCTTACTGATATGTAATTTGCCTTATTTTACAGTTTCTCAGTCAAGCCAGATCTCGTTCACTCCATGAGACCAGTAAGCAGTTAGCTGGAATAGCGACACGCCGTTTCCTGCCGCTGGTGCTGCATGATTTTGATAAAGCCAGTGGAAATGGGGACAAAATTGTTTACAACTGCCTTCCGTCGTGTGCCACAATAGGCTGGGCGTTGATGGCGCGAGACCTCGGTATTGTGGCTCGTATCGCAGAGTATACGCTGGCCCGAGACAAAGAATTTTGTGTCGAAAGTCCGTCTGAAGACCCGTACCCGCATCCCACGGAGATTGCCGAAATGGCTGCAATCGTTTTGGGTTTCTGCAACGATCAGGCATTACGAAGTGTTCCTCCCTCACAATCATTTCAACCTGCAACCAGTCTTAGTGAACTTTGTTTGTCTTCTGAGCTGGCTTTCCTCGTGCGCTATGCCAAACTACAGCAATGTTTTGCCAGTGGTGATATTGAGACTGCTGTCGATCGGTTGATCGATTTACTGATCACCGGCTCTGGAAGTTCCAGTGCGGTGGAACTTGGTGCCGCTTCGTGCGGTTCAGGTTCGCTTATATCCACCCGTCTGCGTCTACGTTTGCTCACTGAAGTTCGTCACCTGCTGGGGCGTAGATGCATTCGACGGGACCAAGCAGAACTTTTGATTAGTGCTCTTGTGGACTTGCGCCTGGATACCTGCGAAGACCCGACTGAGGATAATAAAAAGCTGAATGACCTACTGGTGCACATTCACATCCTTCTGGCCCAAGAATTAACCTCCTCGTTGCTTGTTCGAGAATCACAGATTAATAACGTGGTTCTTGGCGGTGTGGTTTAAAACAATCCGGACTAGTTGCTATCGATTTCTAATCCGATGTTTATTGTACATATCTGGTTCTCATGCAATTCATGTCTTGCATTTCGTCAATCGATGTACCTACACTTCTGGATGAAAGCCCGTTCCAATGTTATATTTCGTCAGAATCACAAATGAGCGTTTATGCATCAGTATGGTAACCGGCGTAGAACGATGGGAACAGTGGGTTGAGTTTTCTGATGATTTCTCGCCAGGGGGTTTCGTTTGCCTTGCCGTAAATTACCAGATTGTATACCGGTTGCACTTTGGATCCCGTGCATTTGTCGCCTAGTGATGCTAGCTATGCAAGATGCTCCTCCGTTGTTACCTCTGTTGTTTCTCTGGATGTCTGCGTTATTTCTCTAACTTTCTAGGTGCACGCCACATCTCATGCCAGTTTACCCGCCAGTTTACCCATTTGAGAGCCTTCTTTTGTGTAGAGTTGATCCTGCAAAATGAATAACCGCCATACTATTTAATTTAATTCGGTAATCCGTGAATTTTCCCTCAACTTGTCACAGAGGATTTTCCCAGCGATCTAGCTCACTGGCTACCAAGCGGTGCCAAATTGTATAAATTGAGCCCTTTCAGTCGAGCCTGATGCTCACTATCAACGCCTAGACCGTTTTTTTCCGATAAACCGAAATCATTATTTTGATGAAATAGGTCTTGAGTACTACAAGTGGCTGCTGTGTTCCGAGATTTTAGTTTTCTTTACTAATGTAAATGCGACATACACCCATTGAGCCGGCATTGCTTGTGACGATATCCTCCCCTTAAGGCCTGTGTGGACTTCTGAAATAATATCTTTCATCTTCCGATCGGTATCTGATATCTTTCAGTAGTT